TCTCTCCAGACCCCACAGATCATCTGATTTTATTTGTTTTGTTTAGACATCTTTTAAATAGCTGGTGATTGCCAAAAAAAGAATACAGAATATCTTGAGAGGAAGATTTATCTTTTGCTAAATGTCTGTTTTATGAGCAAACCCACCACACTAATCATTTTGTGAGATGCCCACAAAAGATTTTGAAAATTTCAAATATACCCAGTGGTTCCAAAAGTTAAAACTCATGATTTAAACTTCACTTCTTCTTTTGTACCTAACTTGTAAAGAATTTAGAATTTACTTTGGAGAAAGTATGAAAGAGCCATTGATGGGGGAAGAAAAGACAAAGCCATTAAGGAAGGATTTGGAGAAGAGACTTCACACTCTAGAGACTGAAACAAGTGTGAGAAAGAAACTCAAAATAATCCCCCCCTGATTTTGTTTATATAAAATGGGACAGAGAAAAATTTGGATAGAGTAGATTCCTTACATCCCTGAGGTTATCTATTTCTTGATCTGGTCAATCTCAAAGAGCAAATTACATCTGTCCTTCTGTCTACTGCTCTAACCATAATCCTTAAAGTTTTGCTGTTCTGACTGTGCAAGGTAAATTTTCCATCTTGGTCTGTTGTGAATGAGCGTTTCATGATCTTTTATCTTTTTTCATTCATACTGTTCATCAATGCATAGTTAGAGCTGTTGAAAAGTTACATATAATTCATGAAGCAAAGGTTAACTGCTTCTGTGCAAAACCAGCTTCTTAATTACAGACATTACATTATTTCATAAGAAGAAAGCAATGAATAAAGACAATACACACTTATCAGTTTTGCTACTGTTACTGAATATCTTTTATCCACCTGAAAATTACTATCAAAAGATTTCTAAAGAAAAATTGTACTTTTAGGATAATCACATTAACACTAGACATCAAAATGAACTTTACATCATTATTGTCTTACATATTTTCACAATAAAACAGTTAATTAAAATTAAAATAAACACATTTTGCAAAATGTGTACTTCCTTTGAATTATAAAAATAAATCTGATAAAATACAAATATTCAAAAACCATGTCCATATATGTTGGATTCTCCTCAAGAAACTCCTAAGCCAGTATCCTTCACAACAAGCAAAAGTTAACCACCAATGCTATGTCTACCCTGGAACCAATCTACATCAGGACTTTGCCAAATCAAGGCAACACATCTATACCACAGTGCTTGCCTTCTGGAAGAAAAATAAGGGGAAAAAATTCCAAGCATCTATTTCAGGGGTGTCAAACTGCATCACGAGGAAACCGCGCCCAACCCATTGCCGGCAATGGGGAAAAAATTCCGATACGTCACGCGATAATCATGTGATGTCACGAGTTTGACATGTCTGATCTATTCAAACCATTCACCATAATGAGAAGGTTCCACTGATCTACCAGAACATCTGTCCAGTCATATGCTCAGTCAAGCCGCAGAATTCATGCTGAATTCTTGCATGGGGCTTAAGAACTCACACAAAATATACTATTCTGTGCAAACACTGAAGATTTTTTCTCCACTTTAGACATAAGAAATACTTTCAAAGCAAGAAACAAGACAAGACATTTTATCATATTCCCCATATCCTGGGAAAGCAGACAACTGCAGATCACTTCAAATGCCAAATACATTTTTAAAAAACACATAGATATATGTTTATATCATAATTCACGTCAACACAACACAAAACACAACATGCTTTGCTACTGTGTGCCCTTGTATTCACTCATAATAACTTCACTTTTGGCATAACATGTAACTGCAGATTAGTGGCAAAACTGTAGACGCATGCATAGCTCCCAGATATTCAGACATCTTCATAGCTACCTAGAACAGCACTTTCTCAATTCTTATTCTTCAAAGAAATCCTTTACGTGAGATTCCTTGATGACATTTAAATGAGTATCTTGTTAAATTCCTTCATTGTTTCAACAGCTTCCACACCACAACAGTCTTCATCCTCAATCTATCTACAGAACAAGCCCATTTCCATGATATCATGGCAAAACTAGAAATTGAGCACATAAACACCAGGTTATACAGGAAGCCTACAGATCTCCATGCATACTGTATGCTTCAGTTTCCATTCAGAATACATCAAATATATCATCTATAATTATATCCTTACAACCATATTTGTTTTAAGTCAAAACAGGAAAAAGCCCTAGCAAACGCCTACCTATTTAAGCTTAAGTGGAGGTGAGTTGCATTTGCTTTGATTTACTGAAATGACCCTCATAGGCTTATTCAGGTTTTTAAAATTTAAAATAGAGGTAGAATGAATTACTTTACAGGTCAGCTGTATGTTCACTCTGATACATTAGAGATCTCTAGAAGCTTGGCCTGCTGGAGATGCCCATTACAGAATCAGATAATAAAGCAATAATTTTAAAAACCTGAAAATTAGACTGGGAAATGAATGGTAGCTACATCTAAAACAGAGTTGGCTGGCTAACATTGTCCCGAAGAAGCGCCGATCAGCTGGAAAGCAGCACTGATCCTGGCGCTTCCGCTGAGCCCTGACAGCCCTGCAGCTCCAGCCATCTCTCGCTCAGGCTTGTGCGGTGCTGCCACCGGTTCAGCTCATTCGCCTCCCCCGCTACCCCTTTTCTAGGATGGTCGCGTACCACCTGCCAGGTGCCAATGTACCACAGGTGGTACCCGTACCACTGGTTGAAAAGCCCTGTTCTATACAACACCATTCCCCCTGAAATTCAAAAAGAAAAAGAAAAAAAAAGAAAAGCAAACAAATAGTTTTGGAGTTTTAGGAAGGCTATTAAAAAGTGGATCTTCCAGCAGAGAGCTGGTATATCCTAATGTTATTCCCTTTGGTTTTGGAGTATTTGTTCAGTATAATTGACATTTCCAGAGTTTATATCTACAGACATATTCTGATTTTTGTATTGTAATTTTGTTAGTTTTAACCTGATTTACAGAGAATATACATGATGTTCAGAGTCATCAGTAACTAGAATGAAATAAGCACAGCAAATAAATAAATGAACAAAATGCTAATGTTATGTCCTGTAAAGGAAGAACAAGACCCTCAAACAGGTCTTCTACGATGGTTTAGTATCATCTGATCATACCCAATAAGCAAATTCTTTATATCAAAAGAGGTACTCCTCGACTTATAGCCATAATCAAGCTCAGAACTACGGTTGTAAGTCATGTGGGTCATCAAGTGACCAACTCCATTTTACAAACAATTTTTCCAGTGGTCCTTAAGTGAATCATCATGGTCGTTAAGTGAATATGTGGCTGTTAAGCAAACACGTCTGCAATGGGCGGGGTTTTTTGTTTTTTTGTTTTGCTGGAAACCAGAAGCAAACACCATTTTCCAGCAAAAAAAATCATAAATCAAGGTCATTTGATGACAGGACACAGCAAACAGCCATAAATGTGAGACAGCTGCCGAGTGTTCAAAATAAGAATATATGTCTGTGAGGAGGAAAGAATTAGAACTTCAGTTCCAGATCGTAAGTCCCTTTTTTTGGATCCGTGGTAACTTTGAACATTCACTGAGAAGTCAAGGACTCTCTATATAGAATATTTCATTTCCTTTTTTTAAAGTAATACAAAATATTACATTTAATATATACCCCCTCCCCAAAACTGGTAGATTTATTGCAAGAGAAAATGCTTGAATATATACTACAATGTTATACGGACAACACAGAGATATAGTAGCTGNGTAGCAGCAAGCACCATCACCATTCTTGAAGGATCATCATTCTCCAGAGCTCCACCTACACCTAAAGGAGCAACAATAGAGCTAGAGTACATGGTGCTTTTCTATGGTTGTTCACATTAATTTGAGGTTTTACATGCACTATACTGTGCTCTGAATCTTGGAAGCAAAAAGATGTCACATCTTAGTTTTAGAAACATCACATAATGTAGGGGAAAATGAATGAAAGACCCTATATATTTAGAAAGGGATGATTTTACACCTGCCTGCCCACCCGCTCAGACTTTGTAGAACCTGCCTGCGGTACCTGCTCACCTGCCCCATAGTTCTCACCCAAAGCTCTCACCTACTGACCTGCTGAGACTCCCTCCTCTTCCTGTGTCAGTTCCTGCTTAATGTTAGCATGGTCTTGGGATTACGATGGCCTTATGACTGCATGGCTTAGCAACAGAAATTCCAGTGCCAATTGCCATCATAACCCAATGACTACCTGCATGTTAAACTTTAAAAAAAATATGCCACAAAAAAAGACAACATTTGCAATAGTGGCAAATATCTGCAGCTCGGGGGTAGGATGAGGGTGAAGGTTCGTTCTCTGAGCTTGAGGGTTGGTTTCCAAACGTTTCGTTACTAGGCCAGGTAACATCTTCAGTGGTGTTTAGTGGATGTCTGTGTCAGTGTTCTACTTATATAAGGGCTTCAGGTGTGGGAGTGTCAAGTGAGGGTCTTGTGATGGGCCAGGTGTGAGTCATCAGAGAGAGGCTTGTGATGGGGAGGTACTTCATGTCAGGGTTGTTGGGAGGGTGTGAATTAGTGGGTCAGGAGTGAGTCATCAATAGGAGGCTGGTAATGGGTCTTGTGATGGGGAGATTATATTAGATCAGGGTCATTGGAAGGTGAACTGCTGGGGGGGGAGGAAAGAGGGGCTTAAGGGTTGGTGCTGTCTCCAGATGGCTCTTCGATTGATTTGGATTCTGAGGGGTTCATATGCTGGTCGTAGATCAATATGTCTGTTGATGGAATTGCTTGTAGAAAGCCAGGCTTCGATGAATGACAACATTTGCAGCCCCATCTCTTCAGGGAACTCCAAATTTCTACAGTTCTCAGAATCCCCAAAGGTCAGTTTTTTAAAAGTGGTCTCTGGATGCACAAGTCGCCTGAACCAAGTTTAAAGGATGACCCTATGGAACTTTTCCTTTAAAGTCCTTCCCTCCTTCACTGGGTCTATTCTACAACAATGTATAAAACAAGAAAAAGACCCCCCAATGCAGGCAGAACAAACCCTATTTACCATCCATCTGAACCAGCAGCTCTGACTTGACTCGGCGGCTTGCCTCATGTTCATCCACAGTCCCTCTGCGACTACAGATAGAGTCTATTTCATCAATGAAAATGGTTGTAGGAGCATAAAACTTGGCCTTAAAACAAAGACAAATATTTCTTATGTGACATAGGGATTCATAAGGTTTTTTAAAAAAATCATACACAATACCCTCAGCGTTAACAGTCATATTTAACAAAGATAGATACCAATAAATTTTCTTAAAGACCCTATATGTTTCTTGCCAAATCAAGACAGTTGTGAATTTAAGGAATGTCCTACAGATGCACAAAAACAAATAGTATATCAAGCTAAGACATAGATATGCAGGAAATTGTTGAGGTTGTCCATTTAAACCACCAACCCCAAACCAATTCAATATGGACATTTATAGTATAATACACTCATTGTAATGTACATTGACTGCCCTGAAATCATTTTACAAAGAAAAGGAGCCAAGAACAAATTATGCAAATAAGAGTAACATCTGAGGGAATCAACAATACCTACCATTTCAAACAGCAAACGAACTAATTTTTCAGACTCGCCTCGATATTTTGATGTGAGCGTGGAGGAAGACACATTGAAAAATGTAGTTCCACATTCTGTAGCGACAGCTTTTGCTAGCATGGTTTTACCAGTCCCAGGAGGGCCAACCATAAGCACTCCCTGAAATTAAAATCCAAACAACTGAAGAGACCACAAGCCTGATGCGGGCATATAACAACATAATACAATTAAATTAATCTATGCATAACTTAGATTGTGGATCCTCAGACCTAGGTTTTCTCAAACAATGATGTGATGAGGCTTGATTATCTACAAATTCTGTATATCCTGGATCTCTTGGCAACTTTCAATACCATCAGCCATGGTACCCTTCTGGACTGGCTGCAAGGACTGGAAGTAAGAGGCAGTTTTGCAGTGGTTCTCCTCCTTCCTATGTAGCCAGTTGGTATTAGTGGGAAGGGAAAGGTCCAGCCCTAATCCTCTTTAATGTTGAGCACCTCTACCCAAAACTGATCGGTGGAGCCATCCAACGGCATAGAGGTCAACATTCAACAGCAAATTATATCCAGTAATGATACCCGGCTGATGTCATCACAGTGCTTACCCAGTGCCTAGAGGCTGTGAGGATCTGGAGGGTGAGCTTCTTTTTGGGTGCAATACAAGGTACTTTTAAAGCCCTTTATGACACAGGGCCAGGTTATTTGTGGAACTGCCTCTTTTTGAGGATATATGCCTGTCTCACTAGATTGGATAAAGTGGGCATACTCCAGGTCCTTTCCCTTCAATGTTGCCTTTTACTGCAGCAGTCCCCAACCTTTCCGGCTTGGTGGACCAGCAGGGGGGTGAGAGTATGGTTCTGTCCGAGCAGCAGGCAGGCACGTGGGCATGCGCAACTCCATTTGTGTAAGCAGCAGGCATGTGTGCCTGTCGCTCGCACGCTGCTTTTGCGGCCCAGTTCCAAACAGGCTGCAACCTCGCGGCCCGGGGTTGGGGACTCCAGCTTTAGTGAACCTAGGAAGCATGTCATAGCAGCCTCCGCCAGTGAACACCCATCCCTTTGAGATCTGGCAGGATCCCACCCCCCCTTAACCTTCCAGAAAGCCATTAAGAGGTGGCTTTAACTCCAAGTATTGAGAGAGCAAGGGTAGAGCTCAGGAGATTACATTGTGAGATGAATGTAATTATTGGATCAGGTGTATGATTTTTCTTCTTTATGTTGTATTATTTTTATTGTATTTTTACTACTTTGTTAGCAACTCAGAGTTGTGTCTCGCAAAATGGGCAACTATATAAATCTTTTTAAAAATCACTCATTCACTCCTGGATCCTGGTTGTTTCCATTTGCCTTGGGAGCAGTTAAAGATAATTTATACATTGGGCCAAATGGAATTTCTTTGATTATTACTGCTCACAGAAAGAACTGCTTGCATATTTTCAACAATTTAATTCATTTACAACACATCTTTCTATAAAAATTGAACGTTTCAAATAAGTTTCTCCAGCATTGCAACCATATTACGTTTCATTTATATTTATTTATTTTTATCCCACCTTTATTTTATAAATAATTCAAGGCGGCAAACAAATTAATATTCCTTCCTTTTCTTATTTTCCCCACAACAGCCCTAGGAGGTGGGTTGAGCTGAGAGAGGTGTGATTGGTCCAAAATCATCCAGCTGGCTTTCATGTCTAAGGCGGGGCTAGAATTCAGTCTCCTGGTTTCTAGCGTGGTGTCTTAGCCACCAGACCAATTGGACTAAGCACTAGACAAAACATAATACTTTTTATCTACTTATTAATACAAGAACTGGATGTGCTAAACAACAATGAGAATCTGAAGCCTTGAAATGGGAGAGAAAGCTGCCTCATTTGACCTGGCAGTTTCTAAATTTTACAGACCTCTTTCTTCAGATGTCGAACTATATGCACTTTGTAATTTTAAAAGAAATGTCAACTAAAATCCTATTTCTGCAATGGCTGCCCTCCTGTCAGGCAAGATCCCTATTCAGACTCCTGGATTTAATCCCAGGTCGTGTTGAGGTTCCTTCATCTTTGAGGGTTGGGTGACTTTAATCTCCATGCACTGGCTAGAACTAGGACAGGTGGGATTTCATGGCCTCCACTTATGAAGATCAAGTGATCATGAGTAATATTTCGCCCATCATACTCAGGCTGTTATATTTTTGACCTCATTTTGCCTCAGAGCATTTGTTACACGATCTTGATATGGCTAGCATATCTTTTGTCGCACTGGTATGCTTAATTTCCTAGTCTAAATAAAATTGTCATCCAAGTGATCAGGCTGATTTAAGATAAACCACAACATGCATATCATGGAAAAGAATGTATTCAAACAAATGTTCAGGAGAGTTCCCAGCAACAGGTAGCCTATTCTGTTGAATGCCTGATGAATTGAAAGCAACAGGAGGTGATCTAATCCTTGAAGTTGACCACTCCAACCAGCCTTGACTCTTGGCTTGACTTTTCATGGGCATGGTCTGTGGTAGAGGCAGGGGAACATTTTGCAACATTAGTTAGATTCTTCCGAGGTTATGGGTTCTGATGAAATGTAGAGGATGTAGTCTTTCAGGTCCTCTGCCACCTATGGGCTAGATCTATGCCTTAACTGAGTCCTCCAGGGGAAGAACAAATGTGACTAGCTGATGTAAATTTCCATTCCTGGATTACAATAAATGGGCAGCTCCGAACTGTGTTTAGGTTTCTGGGAAAATCCGGTCTATGCCTGTCTTGGGGAGATTCACAATTATATATCTTAAATGATAAGTCCACAGTACAGCACCAGTGTGCCTAGCAACACTTCCTTAGTTCTCTCCAGACCCCACAGATCATCTGATTTTATTTGTTTTGTTTAGACATCTTTTAAATAGCTGGTGATTGCCAAAAAAAGAATACAGAATATCTTGAGAGGAAGATTTATCTTTTGCTAAATGTCTGTTTTATGAGCAAACCCACCACACTAATCATTTTGTGAGATGCCCACAAAAGATTTTGAAAATTTCAAATATACCCAGTGGTTCCAAAAGTTAAAACTCATGATTTAAACTTCACTTCTTCTTTTGTACCTAACTTGTAAAGAATTTAGAATTTACTTTGGAGAAAGTATGAAAGAGCCATTGATGGGGGAAGAAAGGACAAAGCCATTAAGGAAGGATTTGGAGAAGAGACTTCACACTCTAGAGACTGAAACAAGTGTGAGAAAGAAACTCAAAATAATCCCCCCCTGATTTTGTTTATATAAAATGGGACAGAGAAAAATTTGGATAGAGTAGATTCCTTACATCCCTGAGGTTATCTATTTCTTGATCTGGTCAATCTCAAAGAGCAAATTACATCTGTCCTTCTGTCTACTGCTCTAACCATAATCCTTAAAGTTTTGCTGTTCTGACTGTGCAAGGTAAATTTTCCATCTTGGTCTGTTGTGAATGAGCGTCTCATGATCTTTTATCTTTTTTCATTCATACTGTTCATCAATGCATAGTTAGAGCTGTTGAAAAGTTACATATAATTCATGAAGCAAAGGTTAACTGCTTCTGTGCAAAACCAGCTTCTTAATTACAGACATTACATTATTTCATAAGAAGAAAGCAATGAATAAAGACAATACACACTTATCAGTTTTGCTACTGTTACTGAATATCTTTTATCCACCTGAAAATTACTATCAAAAGATTTCTAAAGAAAAAATGTACTTTTAGGATAATCACATTAACACTAGACATCAAAATGAACTTTACATCATTATTGTCTTACATATTTTCACAATAAAACAGTTAATTAAAACTAAAATAAACACATTTTGCAAAATGTGTACTTCCTTTGAATTATAAAAATAAATCTGATAAAATACAAATATTCAAAAACCATGTCCATATATGTTGGATTCTCCTCAAGAAACTCCTAAGCCAGTTTCCTTCACAACAAGCAAAAGTTAACCACCAATGCTATGTCTACCCTGGAACCCAATCTACACCAGGACTTTGCCAAATCAAGGCAACACATCTACTGTATACCACAGTGCTTGCCTTCTGGAAGAAAAATAAGGGGAAAGAATTCCAAGCATCTATTTCAGGGGTGTCAAACTGCATCACGAGGAAACCGCGCCCAACCCATTGCCGGCAATGGGGAAAAAATTCCGATACGTCACATGATGTCATGTGATGTCACGAGTTTGACATGTCTGATCTATTCAAACCATTCACCATAATGAGAAGGTTCCACTGATCTACCAGAACATCTCTCCAGTCATATCCTCAGTCAAGCTAAAGAATTCATGCTGAATTCTTGCATGAGGCTTAAGAACTCACACAAAATATACTATTCTGTGCAAACACTGAAGATTTTTTCTCCACTTCAGACATAAGAAATACGTTCAAAGCAAGAAACAAGACAAGACATTTTATCATATTTCCCATATCCTGGGAATGCAGACAACTGCAGATCACTTCAAATGCCAAATACATTTTTAAAAAACACATAGATATATGTTTATATCATAATTCACGTCAACACAACACAAAACACAACATGCTTTGCTACTGTGTGCCCTTGTATTCACTCATAATAACTTCACTTTTGGCATAACATGTAACTGCAGATTAGTGGCAAAACTGTAGACTCATGCATAGCTCCCAGATATTCAAACATCTTCATAGCTACCTAGAACAGCACTTTCTCAATTCTTATTCTTCAAAGAAATCCTTTACGTGACATTCCTTGATGACATTTAAATGAGTATCTTGTTAAATTCCTTCATTGTTTCAACAGCTTCCGCACCACAAGTCTTCATCCTCAATCTATCTACAGAACAAGCCCACCTCCATGATATCATGGCAAAACTAGAAATTGGGCACATAAACACCAGGTTATACAGGAAGCCTACAGATCTCCATGCATACTGTATGCTTCAGTTTCCATTCAGAATACATCAAATATATCATCTATAATTATATCCTTACAACCACATTTGTTTTAAGTCAAAACAGGAAAAAGCCCTAGCAAACGCCTACCTATTCAAGCTTAAGTGGAGGTGAGTTGCATTTGCTTTGATTTACTGAAATGACCCTCATAGGCTTATTCAGGTTTTTAAAATTTAAAATAGAGGTAGAATGAATTACTTTACAGGTCAGCTGTATGTTCACTCTGATACATTAGAGATCTCTAGAAGCTTGGCCTGCTGGAGATGCCGATTACAGAATCAGATAATAAAGCAATAATTTTAAAAACCTGAAAATTAGACTGGGAAATGAATGGTAGCTACATCTAAAACAGGGTTGGCTGGCTAACATTGTCCCGAAGAAGCGCCGATCAGCTGGAAAGCAGCACTGATCCTGGCGCTTCCGCTGAGCCCTGACAGCCCTGCAGCTCCAGCCATCTCTCGCTCAGGCTTGTGCGGTGCTGCCACCGGTTCAGCTCATTCGCCTCCCCCGCTACCCCTTTTCTAGGATGGTCGCATACCACCTGCCAGGTGCCAATGTACCACAGGTGGTACCCGTACCACTGGTTGAAAAGCCCTGTTCTATACAATACCATTCCCCCTGAAATTCAAAAAGAAAAAGAAAAAAAAGAAAAGCAAACAAATAGTTTTGGAGTTTTAGGAAGGCTATTAAAAAGTGGATCTTCCAGCAGAGAGCTGGTATATCCTAATGTTATTCCCTTTGGTTTTGGAGTATTTGTTCAGTATAATTGACATTTCCAGAGTTTATATCTACAGACATATTCTGATTTTTGTATTGTAATTTTGTTAGTTTTAACCTGATTTACAGAGAATATACATGATGTTCAGAGTCATCAGTAACTAGAATGAAATAAGCACAGCAAATAAATAAATGAACAAAATGCTAATGTTATGTCCTGTAAAGGAAGAACAAAACCCTCAAACAGGTCTTCTACGATGGTTTAGTATCATCTGATCATACCCAATAAGCAAATTCTTTATATCAAGAGGGGTACTCCTCGACTTACAGCCATAATCAAGCTCAGAATTACGGTTGTAAGTCATGTGGGTCATCAAGTGACCAACTCCATTTTACAAACAATTTTTCCAGTGGTCCTTAAGTGAATCATCATGGTCATTAAGTGAATATGTGGCTGTTAAGCAAACACGTCTGCAATGGGCGGGGTTTTTTGTTTTTTTGTTTTGCTGGAAACCAGAAGCAAACACCATTTTCCAGCAAAAAAAAATCATAAATCAAGGTCATTTGATGACAGGACACAGCAAACAGCCATAAATGTGAGACAGCTGCCGAGTGTTCAAAATAAGAATATATGTCTGTGGGGAGGAAAGAATTAGAACTTCAGCTCCAGATCGTAAGTCCCTTTTTGTGGATCCGTGGTAACTTTGAACATTCACTGAGAAGTCAAGGACTCTCTATATAGAATATTTCATTTCCTTTTTTTAAAGTAATACAAAATATTACATTTAATATATACCCCCTCCCCAAAACTGGTAGATTTATTGCAAGAGAAAATGCTTGAATATATACTACAATGTTATACGGACAACACAGAGATATAGTAGCTGGAGGGTTCTTACTTTCCAAGGTCTTCTGATTCCTTTGAAAAAATCTGGCATCCATAGTGGAAGAACAACTGCTTCTCTTAATAATTTTTTGGCTTCTTCTAAATCTGCGATATCATCCCTATGGAAAATAAAATTCAGATTTAGAAGGATAATCTCTCCCTCTTTTTTTCAACAACAAATATATAAATAAATGTTAAGTGCTTGCACTTCATTGATAAAATATATGATGACAAGCTCTTGCACAGGATGCTAGTACAATTCATTGTTCTGAAAAATGACCTTCCATTTAAAAGACATGCGGAAAATGACTTGCAGCTAAGCGCAGAACAGAATGTTCAGTTTAAAAATAGGTTTCTTGAAAACATGATTATCAAGGCAACACCTAAAAAGCTTTTCAGCATTGTTGCACATTTTAATGAGTGTCTGTAATGAGCCTTTTGTTCATGGTACTATTTAGACAAGAAGTGTGCTTCGTAAGCATAATAGCACTCACAATTAGCTCAAGAAGCTTTTCTGCTGTAACAGAACTGGAAGGAACAACTCTAGTCTGATATGGGCTCCGCTATATAGACTTGCTTCCTGTCTGTTTTCAACCATCTAGAGTTGGCTACAGTCTCCAAACTCTAGTCTAGGGCGACGCTCAAAGCTGGCCCATCTACTGAGCACTTGAAACACCTATCTCAAATATCTCCTTAGTCTTTCAGTAATTCTCTGTTTTAGTAATAATAGTTATTTTAGTCAAGGACAGGAAATCTGCATACATCTGCAGCCCAGAACCCCAATATATGAGTACAGTAAACTGGCAATGGTTTTGCAGATTAGAGACAATTAAGATATTGTTATTTTAAGGACAGGCAGAATGAATAGGAGGAAACCCTGGATCACATTCAGAATTTCAAATGACAGAATTGCTACTTTTCAGTAAGCTCCTTAAAACACTATAAAGTCCAGTTCTCTGTGATCCACAATATGGGAAATGATAATGAAAAATAAAGATTTTAGGAGCTCACATAACTTACCTGCTAACTTAGAATCGTAATGGCTGCTAAAATAACTTGAGAATTAAAGATATTTCTGGAAATCTTATTTGAGCTATTTTCAACACTTTTCCAGTTTCAAATGTTTATGATCCCATCTAGACTTAACAGTAATTATTGTTCTATTATGGGTGCCTTGTGAGGAGCTATAATGCTTTAAAGCTAATGTGTCTCCATATGGTGTCTGTAACTTTCAGATTTCTCCAAGTAGATATTTATAGCTATATAAACAGCTTCTAACAGCACAAACTTTCATAAAACAATATGCAATAACACATTTAAAATTTAACATAATCATACCTTTATGTAATGATATAGAAAATTATTGGTAATTATCAGTTTTTCAAATCTAAAAATTCTATTATACATGCTTCTCTTATTCAGAAGGCAAGATTTTCAGGATAGCATACTCTCAATATACAAACTGCCCAAAGGATTTTAGCTGATAATAGACTATTCCTCTTTGATCTTCTCTTGACAGTAATTTGCTATGAATTAGCACTCTTAAATTATTTTAAATGTCATGCATCTATGAAATATTATTCTATCCTTTAAAACAGGAAAAGTACTGCAAAGATATCTAAAGTGTTATCCAAAATAACTCCAGATATGAAATAAATAGTTATTATGTTATTATTATACTCTCAGTTTATTGTTCTGCATCCATCTAATCCATCAAGCCTTGCAAAACCATTAATTTTTATTGTGCAAAATATCTCTTGAGTTTTTCTTAATATCAGCATACTACAAAATAACCACAATAATTGCCCACATGTCAACATCCACAATAAATATTAATATATCTCATTTTACAAAATAATTACTATACCAATGAATACTTAGATTTCTTGACACAATGTCTCTCTCAAGAGCTTCAACCAAATCTTTATCATATCCTGTTCCATCAAATTTCTGAATTTCACTGTCACCACCACCATCCTGGGGGATCTTCTTTCCCTGGATAAAGGAGTTAGAAGCATGTAAGTATACACCTATATTTCTTTTTCTCCTCTTAAACAATTATCTGGGTTCTACTCAGATAAATTTGATGAATTGTAGTTGTGGGATGAAGGAACCAAAACTAGTAACTAGCCATCATAAAAATACCAGGAATTTCCAATATTATCTTTCATGAAAAATGGAAATTTGAAAGGAGATCTGAAGGCCAGATGACCATTGTGGGAGAGACAGAATAAGCTGCACTCAGGAGTTGTTTAGATATATCCAGCTTAAATCAGAAAAGAACAGAATTATTTTTCTTTTTTCTTCTGGGGACTTCATTTCCTTTGAGTTAGTTTCAAAACATAAATGTCTACTATATGCAAGATTGGATCCACCCAACATTGGCAAATACAGAAGGAAGGAAGGAAGGAAGGAAGGAAGGAAGGAAGGAAGGAAGGAAGGAAGGAAGGAAGGAAGGAAGGAAGGAAGGAAGGAAGGAAGGAAGATTGGTAAAGTAGCTAAGTGATAAAGCACTGGCCCTACTCCCTCACCCTATCTATGACACCATCTAAATGCAGGATTAAGAGTGCAGATACTTTTTGGCTTACCCATTCTGAGAGCAGTCCCAATTTCTTCTCAATCTAGTATCTGTGATGAACCAGTGAACATCACAGCTTTATAATTTGTGCCTATACCTGGCTTAATCTGGCAAACTGCTGCCCTAATTCAAACAGTTGCTCTCTCAGTGTGTGTAATGAGTGTGCTGTTTTTTATTGTTCTGGACTACACTCAAGGTGGCACCCTTCCTCTCTTTCCTTTCTTGTCTATTGCTCCTCTGTTTAGTCTGCTTTCACCGCATGTCATTATCATAAAAAAAATGGGCAGAGAGCAATGCCTCCTTCTGTTGACCTTGATCTCACCGGTAAGGTAAGCCTGTATGGCTTATTCTTTCCTTTATAAAATATTCTTGTGAGTTACAGAAAATACCTTGGGGGTGCCATAGGATATAAGTTGGAAACCTCTGCTCTAGACCCTTACCTTTTCATCCTTCCCTTTTCCTCTAGATTCCCTCTCTCGACTACTAGCAGATTTTTCATTTTTGGATATTGGTTGAGCTCTGCCCACAGGTCCCCGTTGTAATCCTGGCAATTCTCTCCGCAGAGGTTTCACTTCTCGATTGGGTCGTTTTATCTGAGGTGGGACTCTGTGTCACATGAAGGAAGCACACAAGAAACTGCTACGATGAGTAAAATTATTTCCATCTTGTATTGCTATTCAATTTCAGTCTTCCCAACACAGTGTCCTCCAGATACATATATAATATATTCAGAATTTCAAAACAGCATAGCTACTACATTAAAATTTTTATGAACTCGGTTTTGAAAGGTGCCAAAACTGAGGAAAGCTGCTCAACTCTGGGGGAAAGCTAATGTTCAAACTGCATATCCTGATCTCTAAGGAGCCAGTGTATGGTCATGCTTTGGGGCGGAAGGTATGCTACCTCACAGCTACACAATTCTTTGTATCCACATAATCCCTTTCATCCCTTTTCATTGCTGTGCAGATGGTGATGATAGAAATTAAGTGAAGACATTTAAAAACTACATATGCATCTCGCAAAATGGAGCAGGAACTAGGAAATCGGGGGAATTGTAGAGACAGAGACAGATGCTAGAAAAAAAGTAAAAAGATGAAAAAAATAAGGCTAAGGAGTTAGCAATACAGTCTGGTAACAACAGGTGCAAGAAAGAATAGGAGCAGAAGCTCAATTCAGGCATTGCACCAAACTGCAGTTAAGGAAACTTAGTTACAATTCTGTGTGAAGTCCAAAACAAATTAAGGTTTTTAACAGTCCAGCATACTGGAATCTAGGAATTATGGTTAGAAGTAGTTTTGAAAATAATTATAGTTTGGTAAAGTCTTCCATGAAAATCTGTAATTATAACTGAAGTTGTTTTTAGTGACCATCATACTAACAGCAATAGTCAGCAGACCTTAATGTTATATTTGTAATGCAAACTAGCATACTAGGCTATGAATAATAGTTCAAATGTTTGATGCGATTCTATAGTCAATGCTCATATTTTAAAAAGTGAAAAGGAGGAATAAGGTAAAACGGCTCTTTTCTCAATCATTATACCACTTTCTCTATCAAAAATGTAGTTGCTACTGTCTGCAAGTAAACATCCATCCTATTTAAGCCCAATTACCTGTGTTCAGCTGGAACCGGAGGTGGCCACACAATTGGATCTCTAAAATGTTCATCTTGATAAGATACAGGAATATCTGTAGGCTTGTCTATTTTAAAACTCTCTAACGTGTTGACAATGCTCTTTACTTGTTCAAATTCTTCTAATAATTCCTGCCGAATCTGAAAAACAAATAAATGTGAAGCTGTTCATAAATTAAATTGCAAGGCATTATAGCATGCAGTTTAAAGCAGAGCAGATAAAACTGCTGTTGGTATAAACAAAAGCAATCTGGAGGGAAACTGTTGATTTCTGGTATTCTTTGCACAAGGCAAACTAATCTGGATAAAACTCAAGTCACTCCAATACAAGGGCTGTACCAGTCTAAGATCTGCATCATACCTGTGTTTTATACACCTCACATGAGCATTCGGACAGGACTGCCTGCTTGCTTATTGTTTGTTTTAAGCAGCAGAGCTGAGAGGTTTAGACTATAAAATGAATTTTACAATTCTGCTAGATAAAACATTTCCCTTAATTTTCAATTAGAAACACAAATACCAGGCCCCTACTATGTACCCCAGAAACCCCACCTCCCTCAATTTTGCTTCTTTTTGCCAGCAGATCAAAATTGCCACAGCACTGCTACCAATCACAGTAGTATAGCAAGTTTCTCCCTCTTGCCCAGAAGGAAAAAAAATGAGCCCATAAGTTTATTCTAAAATAAAGTTATGAGGTTCTAAAAATGTCTCGCTTTATTGCCAATGGTACAAAGTGCAGCAGAAAAGATTCTTATGAAGTTATCACATAAATTTCCTTGTAAATTTTTTGCAAGGAAAAAGAAATTCAGTTACAAAGACCTCAATAGGTTTCTTTCATGTAGCCCAGAGGTGTCAAACTCAATTTCACTGAGGGCCGTATCAGCATTGCGGTTGCCCTGGGGGGGGGGGCGGGTGGGTCTGGCCAGAGTGGGTGCAGCCTACTGGGTGGGCATGGATGGAGTGGGTGTGGTCTACTGGGTGGGCGTGACCACTTCTACATCATTCGCCTCAAGGGTGCCTATGGGGGCCTGGGCAGGAGTGGGACAGATCTGAGGGTCTCTGGTAGAAGGGGGTGGGACCGGGGCAAGTGCCAAGATGGCCACCACAAAATTGTATATTGGCTCCCGGCTGGCCTGGGCCAGGGCCAAGGCAGCAGGGGCCGTTCCCTCACTGTTTCCAGGATGGCTTCGCAGGCCGCATCCGGCCCCCAGGCCTTGTGTTTGACATGTCTGATGTAGCCCAATGTATTGCTAAGTGCTGCAGAGCTTAGTCCTCTTCCTTATAACTATTTGAGAGATGGAGAGGTAGCTGAGCATTTTCCTGAATATTCAGATGTTTTAAGTGAATATTGAGAAGCGTTACTTGCTTTCTCAGGCTCCAAGAAGTCTGTAAGGCAGGGGCTGTTTGTGTAAAAACCTGGTGTATAAATATATCACTATATATTTGTGGCATATACATTTTTGTATTTCCATGTATATTAATGTGTAGGGAGGTTACACATTTTAGGTTACACATTTTAAATGTACAAGCATATGCTTTCGTTTGTGGAGCTCAGTGGCAGGTGTTCCTATTCTCCATATCCCCCAGGTTCATAACCATGATTTGATGTCAATTGCTTGAAAAGACTGCCTATCCCTGCCTTAAACCTTTAATTCTCACTCCTAATCAAAGCAATTTTAATCAAAGCAATCAATTACATTTTCTCTTAACTTATGTTCATCTCTTCATCTCTTCATTTCTTTCTGGCATTTAAATCTTAACTTTATTGGATTTACATTTAGAGCTATGCACAAAAAGGAGAATATTTTTTTTTTCAAACCCAGAAGAAATCATTGCAATCTTGTTTTGCCAGGCTATTTTGGGGCAACCATTACAGTTTTGTTCACTGGAGTTGGGAGCCTAATAAACTCAAGTAAATATATAAATAAATACAGGTCAGTAGACATAAATCCCAAAGTTTATTTGTTGCTCCAAGTTTTGGATAACCAATATCCAGGGGAATCCTTGTGTGATTTCATGAGGCAAATGCCAGGCTTCTGGCAGCAACCTGGATTGGAACTGATTATTGTAATTCCAACAAGTTTGACTTCAAATTAATACAATTATTAAGGAGGCTGAAATGAAAAGAATTCTGGTGAATAGCGAACTTTCTCTTCTCTTTTGAACAGCTCCCAAAGCTGCAAATCCCACCAGTCTATCAATCCCAATGCCTTCCTTTCCCTCCCATCAGCCACTGCCAATGTCTGAGGTAACATGGCTCCCAAAATCCCAAGTGCTTTCTCTTTTCTCCCCTCCACTGCAACCACTGATGTCAGAGCGCAGTGGTCAGATCTTTGCTAGCTGCCTGAACTGAGAGATTTTCTTCCCCAAACACAAATTATTGTGTTTTTCCAAGCTTTATTCAAATGAAAGAAGCAGTGATACGTGAATTCCAACAAGTGGAACAATTTAGAACCAATATCTCTGTGTACATTAGGATGACTTCCTGTGTCATTTTTTTTCTTCACTCTTTCTACCAGGAAGGAGACAAGTCTCTTCTGCAGCCATTCTTGCCAGTCAAGAAGAGAAATAATTTTAGTTTATTCTGCTTTGATCAGACTTCAAATACTGTATCCTTCTGGCATTTCAGTTTAAGAAGGATTCAGACAAGGGCAATGAGGATGAAGAGAGGATGAGACATAATTCCTATGAAGAGAAATTGAATGAATTGTGATTGTTTAGCTTTGAGAAAAGTGAGGGGAGGTATTGCAATAGCTAAAGTACCTGAAAGCAGAACACACAAAATACTGTAATGTTAACTTACAAATAAAAGACAGTAGGAGGAGTTAATTACCCAGAGAGATGCTGGATCCCCTTCCCATGATGTATTTAAACAGAATTTAAACAGTTTTCTATTTTACTGTATATGCCTTGATTGGATTTTTGCAACAAGCAAGGGCTTGGACTCAGGGGCTGTGAAATTCTTAACTGTAAGAATATAACAGCCTATATATTTATTTTCATAACAGCCTATTTCACCTCAAGAAGTGATCCACCTCTACCTCTTGGCCTTCAGGAAGAGCCTTACAACCTGACTCTGCCAAATGGCCTGGAGTCTCGAAGAGGGCATTCCATGCTTGAGGTGGCTAGTGGATTAAGAGACAATTCTACTTCCACCGTATTGTATATCACTTGCTTCCTTAGCCAATTTTATTAATTTTAATTTTAACATTTATAGTTTTAATATTTTGAAGTTTTATACTGTCATTTTTATCTTGTAAGCTGCCTTGAAAAGATGGGCAGCATATTAAAAGTAACAAATAAATAAATAAAGTTATCACAATTCTAGAACGGATATTTATTAAGAAGCATGATTGGTCTACTGTTTAGGGCACCAGACTAGAAACCAGGAGACTATGAGTTCTAGTCCCGCCTCAGGCATGAAAGATAGCAGGGTGAATTTGGGCCAGCCACTCTCTCTTAGACCAATTCACCTCACAGGGTTGACATTATTGTAAAAATAGGAGGAAGGTATATTAGGTATGCTTGCCACCTTCAGTTATTTTTAAAAAAATAATAAACGTGAGATGAAAATAAATACACTTGTTCAAAACACTGTTGCAATGTGTTATTTATTATTAAGTGAATTCATATTATATAGTTTTATCCATCTGATTAGAAACTACCCACCATTAAAAACACTTGTTTTTAAAAACATCAAAGGATTACACATAAAATATTTCAGGAAGTTTATACGTTTGATCAATTGGAAACATCTTTAAACTGGCATATTATTTCAAATTATTAATGTTCTAGTAAATCATTTAAATAGGAGTTTTATCAGGATCCACTTGTTTTTGTACTCTGCTTGCCTACTTCTTACAGCAAATTTTATCATTCATGTTGTAATGAAAGGTTTAGTTTATCAGCCAGCTCATCAGAAACCCTGTCACTGATTTATTGTTCACAGGGAGTAACTGGTTCCCCAAAGTCACTCAATATCTTTCATGCAAGGAATAGGAACAGAACTGATAATATTGGGGGATGAACCCTAGGAGGACTTGTACTGTAAAGCTTTGGGCCCTACTGGATTTCTCAGTAGCCTTCAATTCCATCCATCACTGTGGTATCTTCTGAACTGTAATGGGGTGGGAGCTAGAGGTCCTATTCTGCAGTATCACTCTTTCTTTAGTATGCAGTTTCAGTTGGCTTAGTGAACCCTAGGGAGGTACTGCAGGGTTAAGTTCTTTTACCACCACCCCAGCTCTTTTTAAACATCTGCATGAAGCTATTAGAAGAAGTCACCTGTCAGTTCAGGATGAGGTATCATCAGTGTGCTGATGATAGTCATGCTGCTATCCCAGGCTGCAGTGATGATGCCATGGAAATCTTGTCCTAGTATCAAGAGGGTATAAGGGTCCAATTGGGGCAAAAGAGGCTGAATCTAACCCAAATAAGATGGAGTTACATTTCATTCATCAAGATTCTTGGTCGGCTCCAGTACTGCCTCTTGAGGAGAAGCACTACACCAAAGGCTCTGATCTGCCACTTGGGGGGTTCTCCTGGACTCATGTCTACAACCGAAGGAAAGGTAAAAAATGTTGTCAGAAGGACCTTTATCCAGCTTTGGCTAATACACTGTTTGCAACCCCATGGATCTCAATGATCTCACAACTATGACTCATGCCCTCATTACAAACCAGTTGGACTACCATAATGCACTCTACGTGGGGCTGTCTTTGCAAATCACTTGGAAATTGGTTCAAAATGTGGCAGTCCGTTTATTGGCAGATATCAATCACCAACTGCCAACAGATATTTCAAAGTACTGGCAACGACCTATATGGCTTGGTGCCCACCTGCAGGATGCCTTTTCCAACCAGAATCAGTCTGTATTGTATGTTTAGCTCGGAGAAGCACTTGGTTGCTTGCACCTCATAGGTACTATTCTTCTGTTGCAATTGTCTCTCTTATGTAAGAGAGTCCCCTTGAAAGTGAAGTATGGCCCTCCTGTTACAGGCTCCAGAAGTTATTTCAGATGGATGGCATTCAGAATTACCCTCTTATTGCCATATTCAGTATCTTTATTATGTGTTATTTTTTATAATGATTATACAAAATAATAAGCAGGATTATTATTTCATTATGGTGCTGGTTTTTACTGGTTACTGATTTTTATGGATGTGTTAACTGCTTTTACTGATAATATTTATAATGAAAACTTAATTACTTATTTATTTATGATTATTAACTGCTGAATGTCTATGGCAGATTTGGCAACACATAAATGGGATAAATAAATGAGTCCTTCCAACCCCACATTTCCAAAATTTGAAGAGATCAACAGCAATACCATCAAATAATGCTGTAAAATAAAACAATTCATAAAAAGATTAACATTATTTATAAGAAAAAGAAGCTGGAGAACCACCAGCATAAACAGATAAAAGCGCTTAGAACAAACTGGTATTGGATTCTGGCATATCATAGAGATGTCACTCTGCACAGAGCAGGCATCACTAGGGAAAAAGTCCAACTCTACATCATTGCTAAATGAAATCCTGCTTTCTAATTTTGGATGCAGAACAGCTGAAAGGGCACCTTCTACAAATGTCCTCCTCAGTTTATGTATTATGTAATATATAGGGAACTATATATTCCAAGTAGCACTTCCTATTCAGAGAGGTTCCTTATTAGGCAAGGCAAATCAAGTGAGTTAGATAAGAAAATATAATCTATTTTTTTTTTGTTAAGAAAAAATTAATTTAACTGATGGTCAAGGACATTTAGTAAAAGAAGTGACATGTTCTGCTCTTAACTTGTTAATATTATACAGAGTCATATTGTCTTTCAGTGAGTTCCATTATCATATTGTTATTCTACTACATAAGAAACCTTAACAGCAATTAATTTCTTTAAACATTTGCACTCAAACCTTTTGTTATTATACCTGCTGCCACTTGCCCTTCAATGTTGGGTCTCTGATCGACTGACAATGCCGTTGAATTTGCTGGATGACACCCTGGTAATAAACCATGGAAGAGTCATAATTTCCAAGAAGTGCATATTCTCTTCCTTTTTTAGCATTATCACAAATCTCAGCCAAATTCATCTTCTTTGAGAAATCTACAATACAATGTGAAACAATACAGTAAAAATTAAATTACCCTTAGGCACAAAAAACTTTCTTTCACTTAGAACCATAATTGCAATTTTTATTAAAGTCCATTTTATTGTTTTTATTTTATTGTTTTGTTATACTAGTTATGAAACCTGTCAATCATTCTGGAGAAGCTATACAATCATTTTTTTTACTTTTAAAATTTCAGCAAGAACTGCCCACATATTTGCTACCACTACTATATATTCAGAACTAGAAATCTGATTTTCTGAAATAAAAATGACAGCTAAGTTCTTAGAACTATATATTGTACTTTCTCTTCACTTTCCCTCTTCCAAATTGCAATGCACACAATACATCCTTAAGAAATGGATTTTTCAGCTCAATACAGAAAAATCATGGATATATAACTAAGAAGAAATTTGATAATATATAGTGAGTTCTAGCTCTCTGATTCCCCTATCTCTTTTCATTCACTATTAGTTTTACTTTTTTATATTTTGTACTAATTGTATAAGGTTAACATTTCTATTTAATCACTTTTTTCATGAATTTTTTCATGATTTTTTTTCATGAATGTTCATGATTTTTTTTCATGAAAATGCTAAATACTAGCAACACAATCTCTGATTGGGGACAGATAATGTTCATAAATATGTGAATGACCTAAATGTTTAAATGATGTATTACACCATGAGGATAAGCAGCTGTAGGATTCATACATAAATAGAGTTGAATGACAAACACTAACAGCTTCTTTCCAAAACTTAACTGTTCAATAAAAATAATCTTTAATCTCCTCTAATCCTAGATGGTAAAAAAAACAACCTCACAATCTCAAAAGCCAACAAGTTTGCCCTATTTTGTTTGTATATATACTTTAGTCTTTAAAAAAGTCTCAAAACATGAGCTACATGTTATTGCAAACAAAGCTGTTTCATTTGAATATACTGAACTATTAATTGCTGGTAGCTGGCGTCTGTTCAGAACATGATCCAAACAAATTAATTCACTTGAGATACAGCAAATCCATATAGATAATTTCTCAGTGCATGGCTGAAGAAAAGCTGATGTCACCCAATTATATTTGGTATAAGGCGACACAATTCAACATTTTACAACTTATGTGATACAACAGGAAACATGTTATTAAAGATTTGTACCAACACATTCCAGCAAAAAAAACAAAGATTCTCGATCTCAAAAGAATATTATCGATCTCAAAAGAATATTATCCATGTCAAGAAATGTTCTAAGTCAGGCTGAGGACCCCAGGTAACCTTTGAGGAATGTGTCAGAGCTGCCCTTCAACAAACAGTGCTAAGACAAAATTAAATCGGGTCAATTATTATTTATTTATTGGATTACTTTATTTATTGCCAAGACTTTCTGGGGTTTACAGTAATAAACGTAAAAAATAAAGCAACCACAGCAAATAAATAAATACATGTATAAAATTGTAACATCATAAAACCATAGTTACATCCTAGGAATCAGACCCAACAGAGGGCGGGCAGTTACTGATGATGATGATGATGATGATGACCTTGGAGGTCATCTAGTCCAACCCCCTGCTCAGGCAGGAAACCCTATACCATTTCAGACAAATGGCTGTCCAGTTTCTTCTTAAAAACTTCCAGTGTTGGAGCACTCACAACTTCTGGAGGCAGGTTGTTCCACTGGTTAATTGTTCTAACTGTCAGGAAGGTTCTCCTTAGTTCTAGGTTGCTTCTCTCTTTGGTTAGTTTCCACCCGTTGCTTCTTGTCCTGCCTTCAGGCGCTTTGGAAAATAGCTTGACTCCCTCTTCTTTGTGGCAGCCCCTGAGATATTGGAACACTGCTATCATGTCCCCCCTCGTCCTTCTCTTCGTTAAACTAGACATACCCAATTCCAGCAACCGTTCCTT